CGTGTAGGATGCAAGAGGGAATGAAGTTGACCTCAGTAGGTTATTATAGTTAACAATCGCATCCTAGTGGTATGTCACTGCTTTTTTTTTACTGTAAGATGTAGACATCTTAAGCCATTTGTCTTGATTTTTCATTGACATAGCTTAGCAAATATGCTTGTGGGGTTGCAGTAACTTAGTCAAGTACCGATTATTTGATTTGATTTGATTGCTCTATTGAACCATGGCTTGTTTAGTGGCTTAATCAATTTCAGCTTAACTCATTGCTGAAAAATTAATACATATACATATCCACATCAAAATATAATTTACAGCATCCTTTTGGAATGCTGTTGTGTTAATCAATCATGTCGTCAGCTGGTATGGCTAGAGCAGGGATTCGTTTATTTTTTAAGGGATTTGATCATTTGTTTTGTTTTTGAGGTATACATTCTATCATTTGTTGAGCTGGCAGGTCAAAAAGCATCACCTCTTGCCCAGCATGCTAGCAGCATAGAAATCCCATCAACAGAAATTTAAGGACTCTATTTAGCTTCTCCATTTCATATTTTAAAGTTTGATAATTGTTAAAATATGATATCTTGTGCTTGGCTTATTTGGCAATCATATCTAACAATGAAAATAGATGCACTGGTGCAATATAGTGAGAAGAGAGCATAGCTTCCTTGCTGCAATTTTAGTGAACAGAAATACATGTGTTGCAGCAATATAGTCAGCTATGGTTACCATCACTATGAAGAGAGCTATTTTTATTTTTCGCTTGATTGTTTCTAGCTTGCAATTGTGATGTGCTGTATCAGATCACTATGAAGTCTGCAACTCACCTCATGTTCTATTGATTCAGGTTGCCCAACTTTCTCGTATGAGATGATGGGACGTGAGTGACTATTCGAGGTAAATTCAGTATCCCATTCTTGACTGCACCATATTGTCGTATAAACCTCTTGTGCCCATGCATTTTACTATGTATTTAGAATGGATTGAAAAAGTTCTTTCTGTATTCTTTGATTTTTTTGGATGAGCAGAATACCTTGTCTTCACAGATACATCTTACCTTCTGCAGCAGTTGTCAATTTTGTTTTCCATACAACGTCATTGCATTTCTAGAGAAGAAATATTAACTATCAATGGGTTGTGGTCTCAATAACTATTCTTTTGCAGTCATCTGCATAGTAATGTTTCCTTTTGGATGCTCTAGACCGAGTCTATCTTAGCTCTTGATTTTTCATAACATAGAACTATCACTATTTCTCTAAACATCTATGTTCTACGAACAAGAAGTGAACTTTGATCATGTTAAAAAAAAAGGGCATACCCAGTGCAGAGAGCTCCCGCTCTGTGCGGGGTCTGGGGAAGGGTGTCAGTGGCAAACCTTACCCTCGCCTGTGTAATGTGAGGAGACCGCGACTCGAACCTGGGACCTTCCGGTCATAGGCGGTAAGACTCTACTGCTTGCACCAGGCCCGCCCTTTGATCATGTTGTTTAACCAATTTTACCTTATTTAGTTGATCTTTTCTATGTACGCCTAAGTTATTAAATTTGCTAATCCACATGCCAATGTGAATGTTTTTATTTAGCAGGAAGATGCAACTTAATGGAGTACCTGGAGTCATGACATGATCAACTGAAGCAATTATAAATTGCGAAACAAGCTATGTGCAAGCACGGCCAGGAAGGCTGCAAGTGTTGTAGAGATGTTAGATAATGTTGTAGTGCTTCAAGTTTTGATATTTCATGAAGCTCGCATCGTAGCATATTTAACTTTGTGATTGTATATACTATTTCAATGGATTGTCTATTTAATTAATGAATGCTTGTCTATTCTGGTTTAGTGGCTTTATTCAAATGCTTTGTTGATGTCTATTGAGTTTCTAATTAATTAATGGCGCTGCAATATTGTCTGGTGGCACCAAACCAAAAGCGTTGTAAAAGCGGCATTGGCAACCACATTTTCTGTGGCCGTATATCCTATAGCAACGAACAATCCGGGTAGCAATAGAGGCTGCATCTTATAGCAACCAAATGTGAACGTGGCAATTGCTCATGTTGCCACCACTTCTGGGTGTTGCGACATAATACTTGTTGCCACACTCGTTATACGTAGCAATAGTGACTGCACATTATAGCAACCAAATGTTGGGCATGGCAATTGCACATGTTGCCACCACTTCTTGGTGTTGCAACATAATCTTTGTTGCCACACTCGTTATGCGATGCAATAGAAGCTACACCTTATAGCAACCAAACCTTGGGCGTAGCAATTGCACATGTTGCCACCACTTCTTGGTGTTGCGACATAATCCTTGTTGCCACATGCGTTATACGTGGCAATACATTGTCTTGCAACACACATTCGTCGTTGCTAGTTCACCAATTGCTACGACATGGGCAAGTTGCCATTGCAAGGTCCAGCAACGCGTAAGGCGTTGCATTAGTTGCTGTTGCCACACCTACAACCATAGCAAAACCTTAGGTAGTGACACCGATAGCCTTGATTAAGATGCGTCGGCTCATATCTTATAAATCTATCATCTTCTTGTCCTTCAAACTTGATTGTATCTTTGTTGACGTTAGATCATTTCTCTAGTTCATTTCCATGCTCATTTGTTATGCTTCCGTGTTATACTCCATTCTAAATGAGCTTAATGTCTTGTACTCGTGCTTAATTCATATTCCCCGAGTACATATGTTGGCTTAGTTCGTATAAGCATGCCTAACCCCTTGTTCTTATTGTCACATGCTTATATGAACCAAGTATGCTGAAAACCTCACCCATCCCTTTTACAAACATACTCGAGGCTATGTTGTTATCAATCATCAAAAAGGGGGAGATTGAAAACATCTAGGCCCCTAGTGGGTTATGTGATTAATGACGACATAATATTATTGTGACTAACGTGTGTTTTGCAAAGATAATTTGAGTTAAGTCACAATAATGGTGATTGTTTGGGCAATCAATGGTTTTCATGTACCTATCGATGAAAATTGTTTCTGCTTTCAAAGGATGGACGATAAGGTTAACGACGGATTAGTTCTAAATGTCATTTGGTATTGAGAGACACTTAGAGTAGTTTAAGATTTTGTTTTTCCTTTGGCCGTACTATAAAAAGGGTATGAACTAGTAACTTGACGTAGGTGAGTCTAATGTGTTAGGTATGATGCACACTTGTCAAACTTAGCACTAGGTAACTCAGAGTTAGCCCAAAGATCATTTGGAGTCAACCTTATTCACAAAGGATTTCGAATCGAAAGTGAATAAAGTGTTGAAACATGCATCAGACACTCATGCAGGTAGCATTCGATGAGTGCTAGAGCAGCGCAATGAGGGTTTGATAACCATCGGACGATGTTGAAGCAATGCATGGGATAAAACAGTCGCACTGTTCATCTCAGCGTTTGGTTTGCAGAACACATCAGCGATAATCACTATTTACATCAGACAAAAAGTTGGTCACCATCCGATGTCATCCGGAGAGCATCCAGAGAGGGTCTCGACGCAACGGATTTGTCCGGTGGGGGTGCATCAAACGATGTTTGGATCACTGGCACTGTAACGGCTAGTTCTGACAGCTAATGTCAGCATTGTGCTGTCTGAGTCACATCAGACAAGTTGAAATTGTCCGATGCCTGGGTTTGTTGTGTCCGATGCTCCCGACTTCTACTAGATTTGGCTCCAACGGGTAATTTCTTTGGAGGGGGTTATTTATACCAACTAAACTCATCTAAAAAGCTCTCTTGCTTATTTGTTCAACTAAGACAACCATTTCGAGTTTAAGCGAGGGCAAGTGTCTAGTAGGGTAATTGAGATTTGATAATCCAAGATTAAGGTCCTCATTAGTGCATAGGGAGTAGCAAATGTGCATCCACCTTTCTCATTAGGCTTGTCATGGTCTAGTGAGAGTTTGTGCTTGTTACTCTTGGTGATCAGCATCACCTATATGACTTGGTGGTGATTGAGAGCTTGGTGATCATCCGGCGGAGCTTGTGGATGACCCAACTCATGTTGTGAGTGGTTGCGGGCGATTCACTGCGTCGTAGTGATGAAGAGTCAGTCTATATAGAGCACTCGGTTCTTGCGTGGATCGAGGGTGAGCGATACCCTTACGCGGGTGCTCTAACGAGGACTAGTGGGGAGTGCCGACTCTCTGATACCTTAGGAAAACATCGCCGTGTTCCTTTCCCTCTCTTTACTTTGAGCTTTTACATTTGAGCACTTAGGACCTGTTCGCACGGCTCCGGATGGCTCGGCTCCCGCCTGCAATTTCACTGTTCATTCATCATGGCGGAGCCAATTTTCTCTCTCCTTCCTCTCCCTCTCACAGCCTGGTGGCTTCACCGGTGAAGCCGAAAATTTTGGCTCCTCGGCTCCATAAGCAGTACACGAGCTACAGTGAGAGAAAAAAAGAGAGAGAAAACCGGCTCCGAGCTACAGTGTTCTACAAATGATCTGCAAGATTGATTGTCAAGGCGGAGCCGGAGCTGGCCAAGCCGTGCCAAACAGGTCTTTACATTCTCATATTTACTATACTAGAATTGTCATACTATGGTAGGATTGGAACATAGGGTGCTAAACTCTTTGTGCGGTAGAACAATAGAAATCACTTTTAAGCACAAGGGGTGAAATGCGCTAAGCGGTAGGACTTAATTGTTGCGAGAAATTTTAGATTAGCCCAATTCACCCCGCTCTTGAGCATATTGATCCTTTCAATATCCTTTACCCTAAAAATCATTACTATGAGACGGCGATATTTCGAAACCAAGAAATGATCTCATATTTTTAATTATTATGCCAAGCCAGTTCTTCAAAATTGCTACTCAGTGTAAGTGTTCAGTAAAAGCTTTCATGTGGCATAAAAAAACGTACACTTTTTCATTTTGGCTAATGTATATTTGTACGAGACTTTGGCGATCCCTTCCTCAGTGTGCAACAAGTGTGGGCATAGAAACATGTTTATTACACAAACAAGCACATATAAAACATTTCAGACAAAAGTAATCATCAGTTTTCCAACATGCTCCTAGGTAGCATCCGTCTTTTGTAACTCACCTCCACTTTCCCTCTAGGTTCTGGGGAAAGCTTTAGCCAATTGGTCTCGGGGAATGATGACACCAACTTGAGCTCAAAGTTCCTTAGCAAATGGCTCCATATCACCTTCACTTGCATATAGGCATAAGCTTCGCCAGGGCAAGCATGTCTTCCACCACTGAATGCGTTGTAAGTGAACTTTCCGCCAACTCTGTCTTCCTCCCTTCCATGACCAAACCGGTGGGGGTCATACACATCAGGGTCCTTGTAAATATAAGGAATGTTGTGGTTTATCACCAGAGGGCTTGCTATGGTATGTCCACTCGGAATCTCATACTCGTAGCCTTCTCTAGTCCGCACGGTGAAGTTCTTGCGCACCTTGCGAAGAAATATTGGTGCTGTAGGGTGCATCCGCAGTGCCTCCTTGATGCAGCAGTGTAGGAAACTCATCTCCAGAAGGGTATCGTAGTCTATGTTGTCCCCATGTTTCTTGACGATTTGCTGCTGCTCCTCAAGGGCAGCCTCCAAGCACTCTGTGTGGCTTAGAAGGCGAGCTCCAGTCCACGTGCTGCTGGTCGTGCTTGTGTGCTTCCCAGCAAAGAGGATGGCAATTATGAGCCCGGTAACCTCAGCTTCAGTCGTGTGTCGGCCATCCTTGTATTTGGAGTCTACCAGGTTCTGCAAAACATCCTCCTCGACTCGGTTGGAGCTCTTACGTGATCGAACAATCTCAGCGAAAATGCTTGAGAGCCTAGCACTCGCCCTGTCGCGACGTCGAGTCGTAGGTGTTGGGGCATATGGAAACAGCAAACTGGTCAGCTGCAAGCTGTTTTCTGTGAGTTCATGGAATGCAGAGAAAACCTCGTCGAACATCTTCTCCCGAACCTCTTTCCCGAGTAGGCAACGCGCTGAGATCAGCATTAGTAACTGCTCCAGTTCTTGCTTTAGATCAACGGTACCATGCTGTCCCCATTTCGCAAAGTATTTCTGTGTACCAAAATGCATGACCATTTATAAACATATATGTACTCTTCCTGACAAGAAAAACTTTATTTCTTAGATACTCCTAATAATGATGCAGTCTTCAATATTTAGCTATGCCCACACTACATTTAAAAAAACGCTATCAGATTAATTGGTGATGTTATTACTTTACTTTTCAAGGCAAATCTATGATATCATTATCATATTTCCAAAATAAATATTTTGAAAGGTATCTTTATAGTCATATTTGAGAAGTTGGGCAACTGAAATGCTTAATATAATATATATTCTATTTTTCACTAGACGAAGCAACAAAATTAGGAAAATGATAGTGATACGAAACCACCCACACTGGTATGCTCTACACACATCCATTGGTCCTTGATCTGTCATATTTATCTTGTGTTTGGTTTTCACCTCCTAAAGTTTAGTCCATGTCACATCGGATGTTTCACACTAATTTGAATTATTAAACTAAGACTAATTACAAAACTAATTGCACAGATTGAGACTAATTTGCAAGATGAATCTATTAAGCCTAATTAGTCCATGATTTGACAACGTGTAGCTACAGTAAACATGTGCTAATGATGGATTAATTAGGCTTAATAGATTCTTCTCGCGAATTAGCCACGGCTTCTGCAATTAGTTTTATAATTAACTCATGTTTAGTCCTCCTAATTAGCATCCAAACACAAGGACTAAACTTTAGTCCCCGGATCCGAACACCCATTTAGTCCACACACATACCATACAGCAATATAGTACAGCTAGACAGTTGCACTGGAGATTATCAAGCCTACTCACGCTAAATAATTCGTAAGTAATACGTAGTTAAAGATTACTTTCTCCGTCCTAAAATACAAGGTATACATAACGCATGTGAATGTTGTCTTTTAAATTGAGTTATACAGAGTTATTTCTCCTAAATCACATAATTTAGGACAAATTTTGAATGATTGGACACCTTATATAGGACGGAGAGAGTATTAATAAATGCTGATATTATTTTATATGTCCTTTTCACTGGTCATCTTAAATCTTTTTCATGAATCCACTTATCCGTCTTATGGAAAAAAAGAAAGTGTTTCAGAAAGAATACACTCTAAATGAATTAATATGTCAAACTTTTCCAGTTAACAATAATGAAACTCTGACTTCCATCCTTGCCTATATATAATGCAATAACACTAGATAATGGAAAGAAACACAACATGATATCCACTTACATGAGAGAGAAAACTCCAAAATCAGTACAAATAAAGCCAAACCTATTTTGATGGTTGTTTTGTCAACGAAACTTACTAGCCACTGATGCCCATGCTTCGCTGCGGGTAACTCTTTTTGGATTTATTCTATTTACACCTTTATTTAATCAGAATAGGTTTGTCCCTCCTATTCTATCAATAAAGGCATATGTATCTTATCAAAAAATTGTTTACCACTTTTATGTACCTATGACAATTTGTAATGCATTTTGTTTGCTTAGTTTTAATGACCATATATCATTTTTATTTAGCTTAAATGTTGGAGAAAATTTTGTTAGTCCATATTCATATTTAAACAAATATTTTTAAAACTTATTTTTCCTTGTTATTCCTCAAATTAAGGGTCATGCATGACTATGGGATAATCAATTAGAGCCTTGCTTCAACTATATGGAGGTAATTTATCAATAAGATGACCCTAGAAGTTTTTCTTATTTATATATAGTTTATTTATGATCAAGAAGCAATGTTAGGATTTGTGGTATCCAACATCTCTAGATATTTGGCACTACAACAATTGCAGGATGTCATGAGTATTAGATGAGGTTAATCAAGCATATCTAATTTGTTGTGTTTTTTGCTAGTGGCATTTGTGCATGCCCCGTAATTGTGCAATTATCCATATTAATAAGCACCAAAAAGTTGCTATTATGTTTATTTTTAGGAGGTCAAGTGTGGTGGCGTGGGCAGCATGGCCAAGTGTGGTGGCGCGGTAAGACGTGCGGCATGTGGCTCGCTCAAGATGCTTCATTTCAGTAGGAAGTTAGCTTTGTGTTGTTGTTCTGTGGCTCGATGTTATGATTATGCACAGTTTTCCTACTGAGAGCGTGTGAAGAGCATATTCATGTGAAGGAGGCCGTGTTCATTTTCATGTCTGATGTAGGAGAGTTGATGTAATGAAAGTGAAGTATCATCGTGGCTTAATAAGACTATCGTCCCGATTATTTCTATGCATCTCGGTTCACTGTAAGCAGCATCGAATTGTAATGCAACAACACATACATATATGCAATTATTAGGAGCTTACCATGGGTGCAAATAAGTTGATTGTATCCACTAAACTCTCAAGAACAACGATCAATGTTTGAAAATACCAAAGATAATAATTGAACGCCTGATCAGTTTTTTTCATGCTATAATGCATCATTTATACAAAGAAAATATCATAAGAGTGACTAATATAATACTTGATCCATGTTCATTGCATCGATGCATCAATATTGCGAGAAGGCAGGAAATTGCAGCATGAAGGGTCAATATCATGAACAGGTATGGCATTCAATGTGTTGCTATGCTAGCATGCATGCACTTCCACAGGAAGAAGACAAAAGGGCATCAAACCGGATGCATGCAAGAAATGTCACCATCATACTCTCTTTCTCTCTCATGTATTACTATGTGGTGAGCATGACCCTGAATAGCCACAGTTCTTTGTACCTGAACATGCATAGGCTCTACTCTGGTCATATAAAATTGTTATTTGCAGTGCAATTAACTTCATCAAACATATTAATTTATCAAGGCCAATCAAGTACATGGCCAGGCTTTCATATTTTTTCAATGCTAGAATAATGTGTCATTTCTAGGTAGAGTGCTATTTTTTGGCCTCCTAACCATAAACAATGCTAGCGCAATATTAGATATCACCAACAGACACATATAAGCACCTACTTTTGGCATGCATGTTTTATATAACCTATAGCGTTGATGTATTCCACAAGAAGAAGCCATAAGGACATGCTGCAGCAGAAGGTAGGCATGCATGAGATAGTGACCACTGCAGTATGCATGCATGCACGCATGGACTATCTAAACCACTGGCAGCATGCAACAGAATCTAGGCTGCTGTGCACTATCAGATTTTGCTATGTTTGTGTGTTCAGCGATCCAAGCCATACAAATCATATCAGACGGAGCTAGTAGAGCAAACTAACGTGGCCATGCTCAGAGGCATGGAGACAGCTGACCTCATAATTTTAATTTCATTATTTGTTCTTGCTCTTACTAAAAGCTGGCTACTTTTTAGATAATGTGTATATAACATTATAACTATATCTTGTTAAATGTATTAATTTTCTCACAAGGCATCACATGTGTGTGTGAGAAAGAGAGAGAGAGGGGGGAGCGAGAGCAGAACAAATGAAAGTAGGCATGAATGCATGTTATGTTACTTACTTCCACTTCATGAAGCATGGGAGCAACATGGCACCTCAACTTAGCCGGTTTTAGTGCATCAAGATAGAAGCGATGCTGCTCAGTTCGGGTGGCGATATCCACAGCAAAGGCGACATCTTTGCCAAACATAGGGACAGTGAACTCAAGGATATTACCATGACTGATCTCAGACTCCAGTCCCTGGTAAAAATGAGCCGAGACCTCCGGCCCAGCCAGGAATGTTGTTTTCATCCCTAAGAAACTTATTGTGAACACACTTCCTAACTTTGTGTATTGCTCTTGAAGCATGGATGTGAAACCCTTGGTGACAAGTGTATGTAGAAGTCGAACGGCTGAGGTGATGCTAGTAATAACCTCAGGGGGGTGAGGCTGGGTATTATTGAATGATGATGCCGGAACAGCTGTTATTTTTGCCCAGGCAACCTTGGTGATTACTGCAGCGATGAAAACAAGTGCAATGGAGAATGGCACGGCACTACTGTTTACCATGTCCATGCTGCAGTTACATATATTGATTGAAAACCTGTAGAACCAAGCAGCAAGTGAATGCATTTAGTTTAGAATCTTTTTCTAAAAAATGTCTGCGGCTAGTTTTGAATCAAATTTACAATCCATGAGAGGTATGTAGCCTCACCTGATGCAGGTACGTGATCTGGGTAAGAACTGGAAAGACAATGCAGAACAGGGATGGATCACTATGGCGCGGCGTCCAGCGATGGCGAGCTACGGGCTGGCCTACCTATGCTGCTGCTCGCGTTCCTTATAAAGGACACGCTGGCGATAACTGCTGCAGAATATGTATCTATCTATCTATCATCTCATCATGTCATCTCTCTATCATCTCTATCTATGTATATATGTCATCGTCTATCTCTCTATCTATATCTATCTATCTATCATACATCATGCTATCATCTCATCTACATCTATCTATCTCATCTATTCGCTCTATCTATCATCTATCTCTCTCTCTCTCTCTCTCTCTCTCTCTCTCTCTCTCTCTCTCTCCCCCTCTCTCTCTCTCTCTCTCTCTGTCTCTATCTCTATCTATCTATCTATCTATCTATCTAGATAGCTACCTACCTACCTTGGGTGCTTCGTGTCAATTATCATGATAATATGACTTTTACACTCAATAATGACATCTAGTATCTTACTTGAGGTGACAAGGTGATGTTGTCATTGTGATTATGAGTGATTGTCGAATCAGGTGAACTCCTTTTGATTGAGTTATTGTTGCTTATGACTAACTAGATAACTAACCAAGTTAAGGAAAAGAAGTGGCATTGCAACATGTCTCTTGGTTGTGTATGTGTAGGTGTTGGAGAAGAGTTGGCAGTTGATTGAGGGCAAGTGAGGAAAAGCAGCGTGTCATGCCAATGTACCATGGGTGCTGAAGGGAAGACATAAGGCTTGGATTGAATGACCAAGGCCAAGAGGACCATGGGTGATCCACACCAAGCACAAGGGGAACAAACACGCATATGGAAGGCAACAAAGACAACATTGACCAAAGTCAAAGTGGGATCAAGACCAATTCAAGAAGCTAGCCGATGAGGA